CTTAGTTCTTTCTCATTAAATCTGAGAAAAAAGTGAATTAACTCAGTTTTATTCATATTAAATTGAATTAGATTGATATCTGCTCTAATAAAGACTTTCTTTACTGCTTTCTCAATCACTTCTAAATTGTCTTTGATTTTCTTTGAACTGTAGAGTAGATCAATATCATCTATATAACTTGAAGATCTGACTATTTTCATCTCTTCATTCTTGAATAGATATGCAGTGTATATTGCAAATAAAACAGATGAGATTGAAGATTCTTATGATACTTCTATTTTTATCTCAGTTTTATCTTGTTTTCTTACATCAAAGAATAGTTGTATAATTATTTTAGACATGAAACAATTAACTCATTTTATTAGAGAAAGTGACAGTTTTAACATCTTCAAAGTTTGAATCATCTTAGACTTTGAAACATGATCAAATGCATCTTTTATATCAATAAAAACTGCAGTTGAGACCAGGCCTTCATGCTTTGCTACTTAAACATTATAAATAACTGAGAGAACAGTATCAATTACAGAACATTGTTTTCTATCTCTCATTTATTCATTAAATAGAAGAGAATTACTAACAGAGCTTATAAAAGATAATCTAGTAGCTATTATATTTTCTAGAATTTTTCTCAAACAGTTCATCAGAGATATTACTCTATATGACTTAGAAATTGAAGCTTTTCTGTTAGGTTTTTCAAGGATTACTTCAGTAGCTTCTCTTCAGCATTCAGCATAATAATCATTTTTTAAGAGATTAAAAAAGAGCTCAAAATATACATTCTTTAAGTAGAAATATGTGTTTTGAATAATCAAGTGATTAATTGAATCAGGCCCTGCAGCAGTTTTAATTGAACTTGAGAATATTACTGACTCTAGTTTATCACATGTAAGCTCAGGTCATTCCCAGTTATTTTCATCAATAGATTCATGAAATGAGATATTCTTCTCTTCTAAATGTGATAAGTTTTGAAAGAGAATTCTCATAAAAGTGTGACATTTTTTCTTAAAAGAGTTTGCTGTATATAATTCATTCTGAAATTCATATTCTAAGGTTGAAACCTTTGCTACACTTCTTGTTTTAGTATAGTAGAAGGCTTTGAAAACTTCTTTTACTTATACTTCTTCAAGAAATTTGTTTCAGCAATCTGTTTTGACTTTTTTAATATCTGAAAAATATTCATTTCAAATGGCTTTGAACTGTTTATCAGATATCAAGTTATTCTTTCAATCTCTCTTAGCAGTGACTAATTGCTTTCTTTTAGAAGTGACATTCTCATTTCATCAAGATTTGAAATACTTAGAACACTTTTTCTTTGAAATATTTACTTCAATATTTGTTAGAAAAATAGATATAATCAGCTGTACTCTATTCTCAAGTATTTCATTTAAGATATCTTGACTTTGATTTCAATAGAGCTCACTCTGTCTTTCAGATTTCAGCTGTTTTACTCTTTCTTCAACTGCTTTTCAATCAGCTTTTTCAAAGTTATACTGATTAGAGAGAAGAGGATTTTCACTTCTTTATTTTTCACTCAGTTCAATATCAAATTGAATGATCTCATGATCTCATTCTGAGAATTCATTTGAATCAATAAATCAGTTTATAAATCTTTTTTTAATTAGATTTTATGACATGAAAGTTAGATCTATAATAGATTTCTGTTTTATATCTTTTCTAAAGAATGTTTGTTGATCAGACTTGTTAAGTAGATCTATTAAATGCTTAAAAGTTCATTCAACCAGTTTATCTGCTCTTACTGCTCTTATGTACTCTGAGTTTTATCAGAGATGATGTGCATTGAAGTCTTCTACAATTATAGAGTTTTTTAAGAGAGTTATATTTAAAAAATTCTCTATCAATTGTTCAGATATTATTGTTTTCTTTCAATGACTTTTCATTATAGATATTTATAAGTTGAATAGTATCAAACTCATTCTCTTTATCTATAATATCACTCACTAGAATATCAGAGTCAGATATGATATCAAATCTTTAATTAAATTGATATCTTGATCTTTTTCTCTCATAGATCACTACTCTTGATTTTATCTCAGATTTTTCAGAAAGAAAGCAGTAATAGCTTGAATGAGAAATGATGTACTTTTACTCAGTATCAAAATTTGATTGTTGAAGAAGTACAAAGTCAACTTTTTATTCAAATGCAATCTGAAGACAAGAATAAATGCAATTTGAGTTTCTATTCACATTATTTTGAATAAATGTGATTTTTGAAGAGTTTTTAAACGTTTTTTATTGTTTTTGTTGTATATTCATACTAAGATAGAGTAGAGATAGAGTAGAATCTAATTTCTATCATCAGATAGTAGATTATAACTATTTTGAAAAGTAGAAATCTCAACTGCTTGCATTATATCTAGTTTATCATCAGAGTCATTTCTCAATTCTCTAATCTTAACAGAAGTTTGAGGATTCAAATTATGTTTACATAGACTGACCGTGTGACCGTGTCTGGGACCAGGACCAGAATTTTTGATAGTCTCATTGTTAATTCGACAGATCCCATTACACGGTTCTAACATTAGATAGTAGTTTCATACTGTCTCAGTGAGACTTACTGTCTACTCTTGTCACATTTTCCAAATGAGACCATGATTTCCACTTCTCAATTTAAATTATTTTTATTGCTTTAAATGACTTTAAATCTCATTTGAGTGTTACCAAAAAGTGTTACTTTTTAAAAAATTAAAAATACTCTAAAAAAAACCTTAAAATGTCTAAAAATAGTAACTTTATGCCAAGAATGAGACTAAATGGGATCAAATAAAACCACTTTCTCATTTTTTTCAAGTCATGGTTCCATTTTGAGATCTGATATATAGTCACTTTGCATGTTTATTTAATGATTAGTCCCAGCAGGATTCACGCCAAGAAATGTATGAGACCAGATCAAATGAAATCAAACATGAAATTCATGGTCCTGGCGGCCAGTCTAATCTCAGGAATAGTATTTGAGAAAGCATTCTTTTTCACATCAACTGAGTGTACTTTCAAACTCATTGTTCTTACTCAATGAAAAGTTGATCAGACTAATTCAATTAAGATATTTATTAAACTCTTTTGAATTGAAAAGTTGATCAGACTGTTTCAATTAAGAGGTTTCTAAGTCTGTTTTCAATTGAAAAGTTGATCAGACTATTTCAAAAGAAGAATAACAGACTTTTATATATAAAATATCTGATTTTTTTCACACTAGTTCAGTAACTAGTAGACTGACCGTGTGACCGTGTCTGAGACCAGGATCAAACTTTACAGTTGTCACATTGCCTAAAAGCATTACTTCTGGTCATGATTTGTGTTCATCACATTGATCTCAAATCATGTTATTTCAAATATTAAAGGTCTCAGATTCACTTTTCAAATAAAAATCTAGTCTCAGATAAAGAATATGTTTGAATTCTTAGTCACATTTTCATTCTGATCTCATTATTGAGAATAGCATCAAATGAGATCATGAAATCACTTCTCACTTATATAATATTATAACATAGTGCTCATTTATTGAAAATTTAATAGAGAGTATTACTAAATATCATTACTTTTCTGAATACAGATTATAATTCATATAATTTTAATTATGAAAAAAATATAAAATATAAAAAAAAAAATAAAAAACAAAAAACAAAACAAAAACAAGAAAAAATCAGAATGAATGAAAAAAAAAATAAAAGAAAAAGAAAAAAACAAAAAATAAAAATAAAAAAAATTAAGATCACAGAGCTGCAGCACTCTTAAAATACTCACTCTTCAGAGTCTTTACAATGTTTATCATCAATCATGTATTTCTCACAGTGAGAATAACACAGCTGCAATGAGTTATTGTCTTAATATCATCTAATAAATAATCAGTATATATCTGTATAAATGTGAATATTTAGAAAATATACACTTAAAAAGTGTGATCAGAGTGAACTCTGCTGTCACTTGAATAACATCAAGAACAGAATACTGGAATTGATGATTCTTCTCATTGATTTCACAGACAAGACAGGCAAAGATGATCTTGAGAAATATAAGATTCTCTGACTTCTGATAAAAACAGATCTCATGAAGAGACTCTATTTTCATGATATCAGAGACTGAGTATTATTAAAAAGTGTTACTTTCATACAATGCATATGCACTTACTGTGACAATTCATTCTCTGTGCATATGACTGAGAATTGTGACTTTCTCACACTGTACAGCTCTCTCTGAAATGCTGACACTGGTTTACAATTCACACAGTCTTTCAGTTCAGCATGCACTGCGCATATGCAGCCCTGTATGCTGAGGCTGTGTTGATCATTATGACCTGGCATGATACTCGCTTTTCGCGGGCCATGTTTCATTTGAGAAGGAGGGGGAAAGACACAACTGTGATTTTATTGAAAGAGAATGAATAATTAGTAATATTGAATGTAATTTGATTCTTCTGCATTTAAAATTTGATTAGTCTATACTCTTCAATTTGAGGGTTTCTAGAAGTGTTTTAATAGTTTTCATATCAGCTTGAATTTAGTGATGAGTTGAAGAAGAAGAGAAAAGAAAGAAGAAAGAAATGAGAATAACTTATCTTTATAATATGAAAACAGAGAATCACTGCAATCATTCTTTCTAGCAATAAAGATCTGTTTTCTGCATGTATCTCTGATATAGATTATATGATAACTGTATACAAAGAATATCAACACTGTATGCATTGAATGAAGATAATGTTGCTATGCAACACTGTAGCTGTTTCTGTATATCTCTGAAAGCTGTTAATATTTTCTTTATCTCTTTATACTTGATAAGTTAGTAATATATTTCAATGCACTCTCTCTTTCATCATCATCATCATCATCATTATCATTATTATCATCATTATCATCATTATCATTACTATCATCATCATCACTATCATCATTATTATTACTATCATCATCATCATTATTATTATCATATTATTTCTGACTGTCTCTTCTGCTTTCATCTCTCTTCAACGCTCACTGAAATCAATCATGTCATTTCTCTTCAAATATTCTGCAGTTCTGCGGATCATCAAGGCGCGTGAGCACTGTCATAGATTGAAGGAAGAGAAGAAGAAGGTATTTAAGTGAGAAGAGATCAATTGTAAAACATGTTATAATGCCTTGAAGAGGCTCTGTAAGAGAGCAGAATAATAACAATTTTAAGTAACATTTCTGATAGATTTAGACTGAACTAAGTATAGAAATAATGCAGATAACATTATCTATGAGAGATTGAAGAAGAAGATAGTGAAGAGTCTCATACAGTAGCAGTGAAACCAGAAGAAGTTCTGAGAATGATTTGAGACTAAGATGAAGAGAGAGAGAGAGAAGAAGAGTGTTACTATAAATAAGCAGTGATAGAAGAAGATTGAGAGAGTGTTGAAGTAAGAGATAAAGAAGTCAAAACTGATAAGTTTTTTATTTATTGAGAGATAATGATTTTTAATAATGCTTCTGTTCTCTAATTGATTAGCAGGAGCTGGCAGAGAAGAAGAGAATTGAGGCCTTGTTCAGGTCTCAAATATGCTTCATGATTCAGAACATTGAGAAGACAGCCCTGCTCTCTGAGCATGCCAATCTGCTTATCACTGAGATGGAACCCAAGACAGCAGATCAGGAAATGTGGGATTTTGAGATACAGGTTGATCTGACTGAGAGGGAGCAGTGAGAACCCTTCTCTGAGAAGGTAGCAGAGAGAGATTTTGAGATGATTATCATCTCAGATGAGAAGAAGAAGAAGGAGAAGAAGAATGAGAAGTGAATTATAAAAGATGATAAGAAGAATAAGAAAGAGAAGAAAGATGATGAGTAGAAAAAGTTTTTTTCTTTTTATATTAGTTAGTTATAAGTTTATAATTATTAATAATTGAAATTAATTTTAAGTTTTTAAAAATTATTGTACAAGTTGTAATCAAGTCAGGAACAATATATATATATATATATATATTTAACTATCATGATTCACAAATCACTATAATATATAAGTATCAACATTTTTTCAACATTGATATTCACAATATTAATATATTTTTAATGATATTATCTGATAACATAATTTAGTAACACTCTCTTTCACAATATTAATATATTTCAAGAAATATGATAGAGATTAATCAAGATTGTTTATTTACTTTTATACATTGATGATATTCAATCTGAGTTAGTACTAAAATTATAACTAAGCTAAGAAACAAGATTATTTTCTCTTATATTAATTCTTCTTACACACATCAGTGATCAGTTATTGAAAATAAATTATCATCTTTCTCAAATTATTATCATATCTTCTGAATTCACTTCTTTCACTTCTTTTACTTCTATTGAAGATTCACAAACTCTTTAAGAAATCACTGTGAATTACAAAGTCTATATTGTTTACAATTCAACACAGAATACTCTCTTTCAATCATGATAAATGATCACTTCATTCTTCACATCTGATTTCAGGCCATGAAATTTATGAAAAACTCAACACAAACATTGAGATGAACTATGAAATAATTATCAACAGATTGCATTGTAGATTACTGAAGAGTTATCTCTCTGCTGCAATTACTGTAACTTCATTCAGAAATATTCATCATAAACTGATCATAGCTCTGAAGAAATTTTCTGACATCTGAAGTCATCAGAATGCAGACAATAAAAGAAAAATAATCAGAAAATTACTACTGAGCTGGTAAGTTGCTCTACTAGATAATGATTTTTGATAATACTAACTTTCTAATTTGAAGAAAATCATGTGAAAATAACCCTGTATCAGTACTCTGATTTCACAACTCTCATCTGATAACTTCTGTGAATAATTACTTTGTATGTATATATCTCTGAATCTTTCTCTTTGATCAATTGAAAATTCTGAATTCTGAACACTTCTTCAAATGCTTAATTCAAATCTTCATATTTCACATCAATTCTGTTTCAGTTCAACCTTGAGACACACTACAAAGTCAATATACAATATCTAGAATCAGAGTTGAAGAATCATTGAAGAGTGTCTCTCACAGTGAATGCATGAACTAGTACAAACAATCTTACATTTATAAGAGTTACATGTTATTACATTGATGAGAACTGAACTTATTAAGAGACATTAATTGAATTTGAATCATTGATCAGTAGTCATACTGAGGATTATATGATAGAGATATTAATAACTGTGATTAAAAATGACTATTGAGATATTAGTCCCAGTCTTCTTACAATTATAACTGATAATACTGTGAATAACTATACTATGATGAAGAGCTTGAAGCAAAAATTGGCTTTGCATTTATGAAATAATAAACAAGGTCATATTCTCTGCATTGCTCATGTGATTCAACTTGTGATGCAAACACTGATAAAGAATCTTAATATCAAGATGAAGAATAATGAGATAGCTGATTCTTGAGATGAGAATAAGATGAAAGTGATTACTCAAGTAACTTTTACATTCACTTTGCAAAAGATAATGTTTTTTGATAATACTTTTTAATATTGCTTTTTGATAATGCTTTTTAATAACACTACTGTTAATTTTGAATAGATTGACTAATAATTTAAATATCATAGATTCAAAACATTGCTAATGCAATTTGTACCTCTTCTAAATAATAACAATGATTCTATGATATTCAATAAATAAATAAATCAGTCACATCACTGAATATGATACAGAATGTTAGAATATAATGAAGTTCAACATATGAGATAACTGTTCAGACTCTTCAATTGTGTCAGATGATTGATCATTGAGTGCAACACTCTGATTGAGAAAAGATTCAGATATTGAAACTTTCTGATATGAAGTGAACTCAGTTGAAATATGTGATTGATTTACTGTTTCAGTTTTATAAGATAATAAAGACAGTCTCAATCACTTGTACACCAATGCTGCAGTCAGTCTGGTGAGTGTATAACAGTTTATTTACTTATCTTGAGAAGTAGTTGAATCACTCAAAAAGAAATTCAGTCTGAAATAATGCTATAGTGCAGACTATTGTTACTGTAAGAAATAAACTGGCATATTACTACAGCAAAATGAAACAATCTTTTACAGAGTACTATGCTATAGCAGCTCTACTAGATCTCTTCTGTTGAGTTAATATCTACACTTCTCAAGATTGAACAGAGAAGAAATGAGACTCATATGTTAAATTAGCCTGAGACTACTACAATATCAACTATCAGAGATTTGAATGAGCAGATATTTGAGATGTGAAGACAGTGAAATACAATTCTCTAGTAAGTAATGATCTTTGATAATGCTTCATATTATATAGAACTATAATACTAACTTTAAAACAGAACTTGCATATATTGATTACAACTGAAAATCAGGCAAAACTACATACTTATAAAACTGAATTTGACTGCTATCTTCAAGATGATCTGACAAATTTACATGCCAAATCAATTCTAGAGATATAAAAAATTATTGAGAGTATATATTCAACTGTTGCACTGATGATATATGATATTCTAACAATTTCATTGACAGAGGTGAGAATGAAGTGAAAGTTCAACTCAAGTTAAGATATTTATCACTATCATCAGAGACAATTACAAGAAGAAACAATCAAGAAACTCATAATTATAAAACATGGAATTATCAGACAGTTTAATACCTCTGATCACAGTATATCAGAGAAGTGTAGTTTTCATGAGAAAGTGAAGAATAAACTTACACAAGAATGTATTTAGTTGTTTCATAAGTGTTATCAATAATTGTTATCAAATTCTGATTATATAAGCAATCACTGAATGAACTGAATGAGACTGATTTTAATCTTCAGTCTCAGTCTCATTCTGATTTTGAAAGAATGATTATCTTTCACAGTTTATCCTGAAAAATTACTCTCATTTCACTGTTCTTGAATTAAATCTGGTCATTTTTCACATCATTTCTCTCAGAAATGGTTCATTTTCAGATTTTTTTGAGGCTTGGTCCTGGTGGGACTCACGCCAAGAAATGTATGAGATCAGACTAAATGGGACCAAATGTGAAATTCATGGTCCCGGCGGCCAGTCTATCACAGTGTGTATAGTTGAAGCAGAAAATGACTGATGACTAATAATTGAACTAGCTTGAAATAACTGAAATATTACTACTGATCTGACTACTGTTTTAATAAGAAATTATAATTATCAGTGAGCTCTTAGTATAATTTAATGAGCTACTTCAGAATCATTTTCTCTTAATAATTAAGATACTAATAGACTATTACTTCTTATAATAATTGTATAAATCTGAATAATAAGATTAATAAGTGATTAATTTACTTCTGAAAATATTATAGAAATAATCTGCTTAATTACTGAATTAAGTTATTTCTCTCTAATCTCACACTGCAAGATAAGAGATATAATAATTAAAACTCAGATATGCTTCTGAAGTTAATACTTCTTGAGATGAGTTATCAACAACTGTAAATGATTTTAATTATAAGAAAAAGGAAATATCTACAATATTTAAAAGTATTCTAGTTAATTATATGATGATAAGATAGAGTAAATTAGTAATAAGTGTGAAATTTCTGATATTTCAGTGAACTCACTATAACATGAATTAGAAGAAAAAAAAGAGATTAATTTCAAACTTAAATATATTTGAAAAAGAGATATTATCTGTGCTATTGTACTCTGCTCTTAATGTATTTACTCTCTGTATATGAGATTCAGCAGGTCATTCAGTTTAGATAGAAGATGTTATATATGATGATAAAATCAGCTATTATTATGTAGATTGTAGTTCAGATTCAGCTGATTTTTATTATTAATAAAGCAGCTTCAGTATAATTTTCTTACAGTTAATTCTTTGATCTCTGTATTACTATTTTACTGTGACATATCTTTAAGAAATGTAATATAAGATACAATCACTGTTATCTTTTTTTCATAAATATTCATCATAACTTTCTTATAATTCAATGTAGATAAGTTATACAATAATACAGCAACTATGTCAGAAAAATTAATACTATAAGATTCAAAGAGTAGAATAAAAATATTGTTTTACTTTGAGTGCTTAACAGCACTTAGTGCAGAAATCAATTAAAAATTCATCAGGCTTTAATACATGTTTCAATATAAATCAAATTCATTAATAAATAACTGATATGATAGAGAAATAACTTGTATATCAAAGTAAAATATGGTTTTTAAAAGATCTCATTCATATGCTGTAATCTTCAACTCAGTCTGAATTAGTGAAGATTTACAATATAATTATATCTCAATCATTTCAGTTATAGTTTTCATGACTCAGTGAAGAAAATACTGATCTTGACTCTCATATACTGATAGATCAGAACTCAATTCAAATGTTATATTCATATATGTGACGGGCTGCGCCCGATCAATCATATAGACTATTCCATTACACTCCATAGATTCTTCCATTCCCGATCGCCGATCCGCGGCCGCTACGAACGCGCGTAGTGTACACTCCGATTCTCAGCCATTCCTGATCACCGATCCTCGGCTGCTATGAACATGTGTAGTGTATGCTCTGATTCTTGGCCATTCCTGATCACTGATCCTCAGCTGCTACAAACACATGTATATTCTTCTGCCCCGAAGCTCCACCGTGTACATCACTATATACACATATAAATATCCACCTTGATCACTGATTCTCACACTTTCTCTTTCTTTTCTTCTCTAATGTTTTTATCTTTGTTATAT